TTCTAATTTTTTTCTTCATTCTACATAACATTGCTCATCTTGATGATGTATATAGTAATAGAACAGCACAGAGGTGGGCAGGCATTATTATTTGAACTGCCAAGAATTTTTTAATAGAAATGTTTTCATTAGAATTCTGTGTTTTTCAATTACTCACAATTAATCTGTTAATCTAATATTTGATTATTTAATTATTTATTTATTAAATGTATATAGCCACTTGAATATATAATTTGGGTAGTGAGCGATACATAAGAAACGTAATTCATAAAAGGGGAAAAAGACATTATATAATGCTTTCATGAGACACATATATACAGGTAGTCCTCAACTTACAGTTGAGCCCAAAATTTATGTTGATAAGTGAGAAATTTGTTAAGTGAGTTTTGCCCCATTTTATTATTTTTTTCTTGCCACAGTTGTTAAGTAAATCATTGTAGTTCTTAAATTAGTAACATGCTAAGTGAATCTGGTTTCCCCATTGATGGGGATGCTGACCATGGTCATAAGTGTGAAAAATTGTCATAAATCACTTTTTTCAGTACTGTTGTAACTTTGAACGGTCACTAAGCAAACTATTATAAGTCAAGGACTACCTGTATTGATCTCTCCTAACACCCTGGCATTAACAGGAGGAGGCAAGTTTTAACAAACTTCTGGAAAGCTATATATATATATAATGAAAACATGGATAACAAGGGTCAACAATATGTCTCCCTGGGTATTAAATTTTATATATATATAAAATTTAATACCCAGGGAGACATATTGTTGACCCTTGTTATCCATGTTTTCATTAGAGGCCAGAGCTTGGTATGCATATTAAATGTTTTCCTGTATCTTTGTTTTGGGGCTGTTTTTTTAGTTTGCACACAAAATAGCAGATGGGCATGCACAAAATATGTTTTTTTCAAGATCTCATTATCCATAGTTTTGTCACCTGTAGTTGCTAGGCTTGAATGTGACTAACAAAGACCACCTGTCCTCATATTTTCCATGTACCAGCAAAGTAAATAAAATGTGGGAGATTCACAGTTCTATCTATCATCAACTCTCCCCATCCTGCCCTAATGAATAAATAAATAGATTTGTTTAGTACTTATGTACTAGAAAAAGTGCAGTCCATATGCCATTAGAGGACATGACAAGACTGAGGTTTGAGGAGGGAGAGGGAAAAATAAAACAATGAGTGAAGATGAAAAATATGATGTCTTTTTAGGATTAAAGTGCATAGCAGCTATCTGCTGTGTATAAAAAATCCTATTTCTTAAAAATTAGATCTAATTTCAGTTATTTTCAGGTGAAGTCAATAATTGTTTGCTTTGTAGGAAGAGTTTACATCAGAAAAAGGCTAGTAACACCTTTTCCAATGAACACATTTTATTAAAAGCATAAACTTAGGTCTTTTAATAAAAGGTGTTAGTTGGGACAGGTGTTACCTGGCTCCTGATTTTTCCACTTGTGGGCATTTTGACGGTTTTGTTACTATGTACATACCTATGACTATGTAAGAAGCATTTTAAAAGGCAACCATTCATCTCACTAATTACTGATCCTTTAGAGATTGATCTGGCCCTTTATAACAATTGGATGGTTTCAAATTTGTATTAGAAAAGTCATCAAAATCTTTTGTATGTCTCTTAATGAGGGGGGGAGATACAAATGCGCGCACACAGATACAATATAAATGGAAATGAAATAAAACAAATGTTAGCTTTTGTCCTGACCCCATCGATTTTTTTCAAGGGTAGCCTCAGCATCAAGACTGCCAACTTAAATTATACATTCCTCATGTAAAAGGAAGCCACATGTATTAGCAGACATTTAGGGTTCACAGGAAGCTAAATATTTAATCGGTTTCTGGAGTGACCAATTATGAACAGGGATTGGCCTCTGATTTTCATTCAGAATTGCTTAAGAAAATGCATTTCAGTAAATAAATAAAATCTTCATGTATTAGCAGTTCCTGATAAAATTCCTTCCTTACACCAAAGTACTGTTGGAAGAAATATCCTTCTAGGTTCAGTTCTAAGTGGGGAAAAAGACACTGGAAACATGGAAGCTGTTTGGAAAGATGGTTTAATGGTGGGCAGGATCACATGCCTGGGAGCTCCTGAGCAAAAAGGGAAGAGATGCTGAGAGTCCTTGGGTTTTATGCCCTCTGTTGGGCTTTGAATTTGAGCTTGTGTTCTGATTGGTTGTCAGACTCCCATGGGGCCATGCGGGGGCAACTCTGTGTCCTGAGTCCCAGGCTTGGTTGAGCCTTGCTGGATGATGATGTAATGAAAGGGCTTTGGGATTCCTATTATGGGTCTGCCTGAAGGAGGTAGACCTTTGTTATTTAGAATAGACTGGCCCAGGCTTAATGGCCAATTAGCAAAGGTAGGGGGACTGAGTTTCTGCCTTTCTGAGTTTCTACTTCTCTTTTAGGGGAAATATTCTGCCTTTTTAGTACATCCTAAAATATTCCATTTCTCAAGGAGAAGGGTGGGTTTTAACTTCAAACAGTACCAATTGTATCTTCTACTGGTAGGGAAAGGCACCTGTCTGACTTATTGCTAATTATTATGAAAGACAATTTTAACTTAATACATTAATGCTGGAGGAACGATCTGACTCAATATAAGGCAGGTTTCCGTCTTCCTTTTAATATTTCTGTCTAATAATCTAACACTGGCCAAGGAAATGATCAATTCCCACATGCGGAGGGGGGGGGATCTGTGAACATGTCCATTTATGCTTATTTATAGTGGTACCATAAAAATGAGCTTCTGTGAATGAAAAAAAGGGTTTGAATTTGGAAGAAAACTCAGAATTATAAACTGTTGTTACTGACTAATGACATTGCTTTTAATTGTCTTTCCAATTATTGGGAATTTGCCCAACAATTCTAACATATATTAACTACTAGTTTTGCATTTATAAAGATTTAACTGTTTCCCAGACAGATCTGAATACATAAAACACCTCTCTTTTATGTTTCTAATGACTGCATGCAGCTCAAAATATATGAAGCAGCTTGGTAGTGTTGGAAGAAATATCCTTCTGGGTTCAGTTCCAAGTGAGGAAAAAGACACTGGAAACATGGAGGCTGTTTGGAAGCTTTAATGGTGGGCAGGACCACATGGCCTGGAGCTCCAGAGTGAAAAGGAAGGACGATCACATGCTTCAAGGTGAAGGAGGAGATCAAGAAAGGCCTGATATGCTGAGAGTGCCTGAGTTTTATAACCTTTGTTGGGATTTGAATTGGAACTTGTATTCTGATTGGTTGTCAGACTCCCATGGGGCCATGCAGGGGCAACTCTGTAGGCTGTCCTGAGTTCCGGGCTTGGTTGAGCCTTGCTGGATGATGATGCACTGAAAGGGCTTTGGGCAATTGCTATAGTTTTACGTGGAGATCTTTGTTACGTAAAGTATTGTGGCCCAGGCCTTAATGGCCCAGCCATTAACAAAGGTGGGGGTGAGTTTCTGCTTCTGAGGGGTGTTTCTGCTTCTGAGTTTCTACTGTTTTTAGAGGAAATATTCTGCCTTTTTAATATTTCCCAGGATATTTCAAATTTCTAGGAGAGGTGTGGGTGCTAACTTCATACAGTAGAATGGGAAATCCAATGAAACTGGTCTCTACAGTTTTAACTACATGTCCCAAAAACCATGCAGAGAGTACTCCAAAATTACAAACAGATATTTATTCCACACCAATTTAAATGTTATGGCTTCTCCTGGGAATTCTGACTGTTCTTTATCTCCCTTCTCTCTTAACTTTATTAGTTTGTTCTTGATGTAACCTTATGTGTGGAGTGGATAAATTCTAGATCTTCTCAGTCTTCTTCTTACACTTTGCATCTGTACCAGGCATTTGGGCCTATCTTAATGGCTAGTTTTGAAGGCTGCTTGGCTTTTTGGGGAAGTTTGGAAATGGGGTCGGACTTGGGGGAAAATATTGATCAATATTGGGGGAAATATTGATCAATCTCAGATGAATTCTAATGCAAAATACTTCCAGGATAGAAATAATCCTTCTCATTTTATAAACATAGGATGAGGTTCATTCCCAATACTGGCTTAAAGTGACAGTGAATGGATGAAATTCTTCTTCTAATCTATAAAATAAGAAATTGCAGCTGACAGGGAGGGTCCCTCATCAGTGAGGAATCAATGTGTAAAGTTATAGTTATATGTAAAACCTTACTCAGCCAATCAATGACGGGGTTTACATATTACTAAGCCATGGTTTGCTTTTAAAAAGGAGTATTTATGGATTAACTGGACATGAACCCAGCATTTCAATTGATAAAGTATGATTTATATATTAGAGTTATGTGGGACCACATGGTTTATGACATGCAATGAACTATGATTAATGACATGGCTTAATAAGTTGTCTATTTTAAATTTAATTGCAGTATTGTGAAATTAAAGGAGGATATTATGTATAAAAAGCTTTTAAAAGAAGAGCAGGAACAATGTGTGTGTGTGAGAGAGAGAGAGAGGGAGAGAGAGGGAGAGAGAAATGGAGTGTGTGTGTGTGAAAATTCACTGTGCTCAGGGTGGCACAACTGACTGATTCCTCTGCAGGCCAGAAATAGCATTTTGATGTTGCTAGTTGCATCTGGTACCAATGTCTCCCCTCCCCCCAAATACAAATCTTCAGAACATTAAAATGTTCTGGAAATCACTTTAATATGAATTTGTGCAGATATTTTCATGATCTATGCAACAACAACAACAACCCCACCCCAATTCACAAACCCCAATTTTTTCCTTTAAAGACTGAGTCATCTTTCATTTGAATGATGAGATGTTGATTATTCCAGAATACAGTTATTAGGGCTTGATTTCAGCATGGTGAGAAAAAGTTACGATATGTCTATGACAACTGATTAATTCTTTCTTTTCCATATTTTTTCCTACTTTTTCCCTTACAGACAATGCCTCCCTTTAGTACCGGGGACATGGGCCATCACCAAGCGCATTGCCGCTGACCCAGGTTCCCCCTTTTCTTCCCCAGCCTAAAGATGGCCAGTGCCAATGAGACTGAAGAGGGCCATGGCTCAGCACCCAGTACAGTTTCCACTTACGCTAAGTTGCTACTCCTGGGCTTCATCATCTGTGTGAGTCTAGCAGGGAATCTGTCTCTCTCGCTGCTGGTGTTGAAAGAGCGTGGTCTCCACAAGGCCCCCTATTACTTCTTACTGGATCTGTGCCTGGCTGATGTGATCCGCTCAGCTGTTTGCTTTCCTTTTGTTCTCGTCTCTATCCGCCATGGCTCTGCTTGGACCTACAGTGTACTGAGCTGCAAGATTGTGGCCTTCATGGCTGTTCTCTTCTGTTTCCATGCTGCCTTTCTCCTCTTCTGCATCAGCGTCACTCGCTATATGGCTGTGGCTCACCACCGCTTCTATGCCAAACGTATGACTTTCTGGACGTGCATTGCTGTCATCTGCATGGTATGGACTTTGTCAGTGGCTATGGCCTTTCCACCTGTCTTTGATGTTGGGACCTACAAGTTCATTCGTGAAGAAGACCAGTGCATCTTTGAGCACCGCTACTTCAAAGCCAATGACACCCTAGGCTTCATGCTGATGCTAGCCGTGCTGATCTTTGCCACCCATGTGGTTTATATAAAGCTACTGCTCTTTGAGTACCGCCATCGTAAGATGAAGCCTGTCCAAATGGTCCCAGCTATCAGCCAGAACTGGACGTTCCATGGACCTGGAGCCACTGGACAAGCTGCAGCCAACTGGATTGCTGGCTTTGGCCGTGGTCCCATGCCTCCTACATTGTTGGGCATACGGCAGAACGCCCATGCTGCCAATCGGCGATTGCTGGGCATGGAAGAATTCAAGGCTGAGAAGAAGCTAGGCAGGATGTTCTACGTCATCACTTTGCTCTTTTTGGTGCTCTGGTCACCCTACATTGTGGCCTGCTATTGGAGGGTATTTGTCAAAGCCTGTAGCATCCCCCATCGCTACCTCTCCACAGCTGTTTGGATGAGCTTTGCCCAAGCTGCTGTCAATCCCATAGTTTGCTTTCTACTCAACAAAGACCTCAAGAAAGGCTTGATTGCCCACATTCCCTGCTGGAGGACAGAGCCTGAATTGCCCAGAGAGCCTTACTGTGTGATGTGAGGAATGCTAAAAGGTTGGCTAGAATGCACCCCACCCACGCCAACTGAATTTGTTTTTCTTTTTCCTTATACGTCACACGAGGTTTTTCTTCCCCTGCAACAGGTCATTGTCTCCCAGAGTACTTGTATCACAAACACTCTGATCTCTCTGTTGTCCAAGGGCAATTATCAAAACCATCCATTAGCTGCTATGAGACCAGAGCTGGATTCTGGTCTGTGTTCCTCTGGGGTAAATCCAGAGTCATATGCCAACAGTATTTGGTCCCTAGTAATATTCCATCAGTTCTCAGAAGAGGTGAAAAATATTCTATGCTTTCCTGGTTTTATAATCCCCAAACTCTATCAAATCATTTAAGACTGTCCCTATAAAACTCTATCCCTAGCTTCTTAATACCCATTATTGCTTTGAAAGTAGGCCAGAGTTAGATTTTGGGGTTTGGTCTCCCAGAGCGAAGCCAAAACTATTCCACTTATTGGAGCAGAAATAGTTTGCATTCAGTGGTTTTGTTTGGTTTTACAGCTAGAGGGTGACAATGAAAAGGGGTCCCTATTGATGGAATGTACTTTTAAAGAAGATTAATTTTCTGATCCAGTATCATAGTACATATTCTGTCTGCTAAGATGAAAAGCAACAAACCAGGTTTATGTATTTCTGTAGCCCCTCCCCTTACTACTTGCAAACATTCAAAACACGTGAAACATCAGTAATCCTATCCTTGCCACATATGACAAAATTTTCTGCACCTCCTGTTGAGAGATGTTTACAGTTTAAGAAGCTAACCTGCCCAAATTTAGTATCCCATATTTCAGGATTATTCCAGCAGACGAGCTATTGGTCTTTAGATTATTGATAGAAAGAGGACAAAAGGCACCGTAGTTCTGCTGCTGACCACTAAAATGGAAATCAGACCTAGGACAAAATGGGGCGGGGAGCAGTTGTAAAATAAAATATGGGTGTACTGGTTTCAAAACTGAGGAGAAAAGGTTACACCTAATTTGTAGCAAGGGCAGTGGAAATATAGGAATCAAAATTCCTGATTCTCTTCATCCCAAAATATGAATAGAGTTTGGGGTTTGGAACCGGAGAAACTGTGACTGGTTGAGTTCATACTTAGCTATATGACCCACCTGCCCCATTGTTGCATTTTCTGAAGCAGGAGCTCTCCAAATTCAACCTGACCAATTCCTAGCCATATAGTTTGATCCTGCTGAGATGGACATGGTTACTGTTTGCAAATGAAATGCTCCTTATGGGATGGGATTGGGAGGCATGGGCTGGGAGAAAAGATTTAGGGGGAAGGAAATGTTGGAGAGTGATTCCTGGAAGAGGCATTGTTGCCAGTATTGTGTGAGAAAGGCAAATGGGACACTTGAAGAGGGCTACATGTCAGGGAAAGAACTGGGGGAAAATTAGTTCAGGAGATGGAAGAGTCAGAGCCTGGGATTGGGGGCAGGATATGGGGAACCAGATGAATTTAGTGCAGAGATTGGGTTTTTCCCCACCTTTTTCCCTCCAAAGGACTCTGATGTTTACTTTTGCCTCTGAAGAAGACTGTTCGTCTTACCCTCCAGTCCTGCCACCACAGTATGGCCTTAATCACTGGCCAGCATTACGGCCACCCCATGGAGAACCATATTTGAAAAATATGGCAGATGAACAGATGATTTCCAGAATGCTTTTTCTGGAAAGAGACATGAACAAAGTTGTTGTTGTTTTTTAAAGGGGAAATGAATAAAGAAATTGAGACTACAGCAAGGGGAGGGAGGGTTGGGTGGGGGCACAGGACAGATGGATGTGTGTCCCCTGCAATGTATGCTTCTGGATTTCTTTCCAATGGGACGGCTTGGGATAGTGGGGTGGGGGTTTAATTCTGTGGGTGGAAATTGAGATTTGGGATAAGGATTCAGACTGATCCTACCCCACCACCATCCCTTTTGTGTCAAAAATTGTTTCCACTTCCCTTTTTTCTGGGGATTTTCTTGTTTGGTTTGGGTTTTTTAAATATACATATGAAATGCAATGAAATGCAAAATTCCTGGGTGGTTCTTTTTAATGAAAAGCAAGACCAAATATAAACAAAGAAAAACCAGATGTGAAATTCATGATCCAAGTTCCTAACATCTACTTTTAATCTAAATGGCAGTTGTGAAAGTAGGAGATTTCTTTCCACCTAGCACCGTTTCTCTGATGAAAATAGCCCCCTAACATGAAAAAACAGGTATTCACCCTTTTCACTCTTTGTAGCTAAGAGGCAAAAAGCGAGGTGGTACTATGAGGCAAGGATTAATGTTCCATGTCCCCCAGAGTGAAGGTCCTTGTTGATTTGATCCTGGAAAAAAATTACTTTGTGTTGTTTTTAAAAACAACACATTGCCACTATTGTCAACAAAGAAGACATGAAAGTTAGGATTGTTATATGGACCGAATGTATACAGAGTGGAGCAAGGTTGAAAAAAATGCAAAGTACTGTACTTCTGACTTTGTTGAAAAAGTATCCTTTACGGACAGAATGAATATTTGTATGAGTTGAGTGCCCCCTGCTCTAAGTTATATACACACAACATTTCCTCTAATTTTACCTGGTCCTATACAATTCTGCTCACCAGTAAGTATTGGCAAGTTGACAGCTCTAAAATGAATTCCGAACTATATTTTGCAGTCTGAGACATGTTTTAATTAAAAAAAACAAAACAGTTTTGTCACTGCTAACCTGTGCATCTGATTTCAGTGTTAGGGAACAAATATATGTATCAAATTATATTAATGATCTTTGCATGGATATTCACTGGTAGAAGAGGAGTGTCTGCTATCTTCCTCTCACCTTATAACTAGATTCTTGGTTTGGATGACAAAATTATCACAGGGAAGATTTTAGTTCTAAATCTCATTTCATAAATGGGAAAGGAAAAAAAATCAGTGGAAGTACATTGAAAAAATATAACCATTTCAGATTAATAGACTTAGCAAGATGAGTTCCACTATTTAATAGATCTAGCAAGATGGGCCTCTCTATTGACTCACTTCATCATCTGTCAAAGCATGCCCAAAAGTTGTTCTATTCTTCTATTCTTACAGTATGAGTAAATAGTAGTTTTGGCAAACCTCTTCGCACCTTGGCATTCACAACCATTTCCTTTCATATCTCTTTGAACCTGATTCTCACATCACACTAACCATTATGTAGTTGGATTGGGTTGGTTTTGAAATAATATGATGTATGAACCCAGCTTCGGCAGTTTAAACATGGTAATGATTGCCCAGGTGCATTGTAAAGATAGATTTTTCTTAAAGCTACTCTTGTTCTTTGAAATACATTTTGGCCCAACATCCTGCTTTAAAAAGTCTGATATCTTTAATTATGTGCCTGTTTGGAAGGAGAGAAATAACTTTGATTAAGAGTTAGAAGGAAAACTTTTGGGGTATCCAGAGATCTGGCTGCCCATCTTTAATATGTATAGATTTTTCTAGGTAAGTTATTTTACAGAGGAAAATCATAATGAAGTCCTATTCTACACATTAGAACATTTTGGATGGCATATAAATTTAATAACTAAATCAATACATTTTACCACAAAAATTGCAATAGACACAGAAGATATATATCGTAAGCTCTGAAAGGACAAACATTTTACATTAACATGCTTTCTTGTCTTTTCTCTCACAGAGGCAGACTGCTTACACCCAATTCTGAAACTAGAATTAAAATATGCTCCATTATATTAGCATTCCAACTAGTTAAACCAAATTCTGTATGCTCACTAGTACAATCAGGGCTGCAAAGCCTTTTAGCATGCTTAGGCAAGATGTCTCATCCCTAGGCCTGATAAGTCTGCCAACATTGCTGCCAGATTCCGTTCCTGAAAAACTCTGCTGTTTTATATTGTCTGTGAGGATCTTTTATCTGACTTCACTTTGGCTCTCTTTGAAGCCCATTACACCCATTTAATTTTTTTTTATATAAAAAATATCCATGAGGACTTCCACACTGCCATTCTTTTCACAACGTTCCACTATTCCTGCTTTTTGTACTGGACTTGCCAAACTGAGAGCAAGGGATAAGAAATCACTGCCCACCCCTGAATTACTTATTGGAGGTCCTGGAGAAATACAAATGCCCTTACTTGCACTCTATGCAAAAGGAAATTTTTAAAATGTCTTTCACCCAACCCCCATTCCTGTTCTTATTTTATGTGATATTTGTCTGTTCATATGCAAAAAATGTAAACAGTTCCTGGGGGAAGGGAAGGAACATGATGGGCTTCACACCATCTTTCTCCCTGAAAGATCTTGGGAACTGGAGAGAGGAGCTCCCACAAAGGGGGAGATGACCACCCACAAGCTCCATAGAGCTACAGCATTGGAGGGATTAGTTTCACTGCAATTTCAGAGAATCCGCAGCTGAAGCAAAAATAAATTGGTTTATTGTTAAATACAGCTGCTGGCATGGATCACACACATATGAACCTGCTGAACTACACAAGATTCTTACATGGAAGCACCCAGAATCCAACTGAGATTGTGAGAAAGCAACCGCTTCGACTGTGTCCTTATGATAGTATATTATCAATATTATAAATCCCCCCCACAGCACCAAAAACATTGCCAACTGCTGCTCTATGTTGAGGTGATAAGGAAATGTCCACCATATGCCCACCATATTTATGCAAGGAGTACACAACTAGTGTGGCTCCAGATCTGCATGTAATTCCACAAAGCCTTCAGCATACAGAGCTTTTCCAAAATTTTTCATGTGATATAAGGGGAAAGTTATTAAATATATTGAAAGTAATCATATGAATTGTGTTTAACTGATATTAAACTACATCAAATTTTTCTCTGACACCACAGCCTGAAAAAGTTTGTGTATCTTTGTTTTTAACTTCAGAGCTACACAATAAGGAGTGTAGCTTAGTATGATGCGGCCTTAGACTAAGAGTGGGGAGACAAGGGCTTTCCCAAGATCTCCTGCCTAAGATCAAGGAAAAATTGCATTTTCTTCCATTCCACATGAAAACATTAATGGGGTTGGCATGT